CAGGAATGCTGACCCTGGGATTCCCTTTGTTCTTGCGCAGCTAACGAGGGGTTTATTAGATAAAGTGCATGACCCTTGAGATGCATTTCAACAAGTTAAAAAATAAACACACAACACCTCTCCTGCCATGCAAATGCCACGCAGCTGCACGGACACACGTTTAGCATTCTAAATGCCAAGAGACCTAAACACAGGGCATCAGGAAACTAGAAGTTATCTGCCATGGTTTGGCTTCTGGTGGAGGCTTCATCTGCTACCTCAGGGTAATTATTCAACTGTTCTGTGCTAAACACACCCTTAAAATGAGACATCTACACAAGGTCATGTGTTATCCTTTCCCCTGTCAGAGAGAAGTCATGAAATATTTATGTCTATAAAGGATCTGGAGAACTCTAGCTGGGAAAAAAAAAATCATGTAAGCACAGATATTCATGTAAGCAAGTAAGAACCCTGCTGAGCAGCTGAGTACTTACCAGTTTTCTCATTTATAGTTTGTTTTTCCCCCCCCATAAAGATAACACTTTATTGGCTTTTATTTCAGAAACAAAACTGTTTCCTACCTCTAAAATAAAAACACGTCTTAAGAAAGAGTTAAAAAGTAGTAAATTATAAACCAAATGATAGCATAACCTCATGAAAGACAATACATTGCAAAAAACACTCCCCATAAATCTCAGTAACTCAGTAAAGTATAAGCCAGTTGGTCACATCTGTTACCAGTTAGATGTAAATTTCAGATTACAGATAAAAATTAAATTGCTTTTGAAATTTACAGGCAAAATAGGAACATATTTTACAAATAAAAGCATTAATAAAAATGATGGCATATTAGAAGAATTGGAAATATTTACGACATAGCCCAGCTTCACTTCAGTTGCTTTTAGAAATCAGACAGTGCCCTTTCTTTCACCTTGTTAGGATTAGTTTGCATTTTTCTTTGTGTTTATAAAATATTCAGAAAGAAAGAAGTAAGGTTTATAGGACAAATGCAAACATGGTGTAAAGTGATATAATTCCCATTAACTGCTGGGTGACCCAAACTGGCTTCCACCAGGCATGGATTTTTCCACTCTCCTTGTGTCAGCTGTATTTTCTCTGTCTCCCAAGGGCGCTGATGAATAAATATTCTGAGGTGTTAAGATGCTGTGGCAATGAAATTTCAGTCCCATGTGCACCCTTTCATGTTCATGTTTTCTTGTGATTCCGAAATCCGAATGTCTCTATATACCCACAGACATAGATATTTCCACAAAGGACATTAAACTTCATTTTGCAACGTTCCCTTGCTCTGTTCTGTGTGTTGTGGAGCAGGAACTCTCATTTCAAGGCTCATTTTAAACAGCAAAACTCCAAGTTAAAATTAACAAGCAGAGAAATGGGCTACAGACACTAACAAATTATGCATAGAGGTACTGCTTTAAACAACCGTGCATGAATCAAAAGGTTGTTCGTAGAGAGGCAGGCAGAGAACATACCTTTTCCAGTTGTACTTTTTCTTCCTTTCCTCTTCTTTTGTAGTTTGTGTTTCAAATGGCAGAACATACTCTCATGGTGAATCTTGGCATCCTAACCTCCGGGCCTTCGGAATCGTCGAGTGTGTGTTGTGCACCTGCAACATCACCAAACAAGAATGTAAGAAAATTCACTGTCCGGAACAATATCCCTGCAAATACCCTCAGAAAGTAGAAGGAAAATGCTGTAAAGTCTGTCCAGGTAAAACAAAATTGATCACAGAACACCTTTTTGCTGTGCATGTTAAGGGGCTTGGCTTAAGCCTTTTGGTCACAGTAAAATCTGCTGTAGATGGCAATTGCTGTGCCCGTGTGCTACTGTGTGTGCAGAGGTCTCAGTGTGAGACAGGCAGAGCTGTTCACTGCTGTTCCCCAAACTGGGGGGCTTGCTGCTGGGGGCACCTGTCTTCTGATCAGTCACCACCTTTCCCTCTACTCTTAGCATGACTTTCTGACATTCACTTCCAAGGAGAACATTACAGAAAGATACACAGAATGTCAATTACTGTCAGAAGACTGTCCCATCCTTCCCCACAGCAGTGCCCACAGAACTTTCAAATAATTTTCTAGCTTGTGAAATCTGCATGGAGATAATATCAGGTCTGCTTTTTGAAATGTACCAGAAGGATTCAAAGCCCCTGATTATAAATTGATTGGTGTCAGTTATGTAACAACCCTTAAAATAAATACTAAATTATCATAAATCTAGCATTGTTTCTATGCTGTACTAATGATTACATTTATGTAGACATTACGTACTAAAATTAATGCCTACAGCTAGTGAAAAATCTGCTCATAGGAATCTGCTGATGGTCTGCCAAATGACCAGCCAAGCTACATATAATACAAAAGCTAAAGGGTTGTCCAGCTCCACTCTGTGCCTTTCAACTTCTTTTCTAACTCATATAGCCCATTTCTGTGTTTGCTTGGTGGTGCATTGCACGGAAATGCTCTGAGGAAATGAGTTGTTCAGTCATATATAGAAATCCTTCATGGAATGCACGTTTTGATATTCTTTTGCTAGCCTTGCTTACTGGGATCGAGCACAAGGCAGCAGCAGCAGGCAGGTGGGAGATCTATATCTTGAGCCTCTTGGATAATTGCGAATGGGAGATCCACAGATTTTATTTGGATCATTGAGATGAGAAGAGTCAGCAAAACTTGGCTAACAGAGTTCAGTAGAAAATTTCAGAGCAAAAAGAAAGCTACTGTCTTTTTCTTTGAGATTCTACATGCCAATTTTTAAGTAAGCTGAACCTTTTCCTGCAGTCTGTCTTGTGTGTGTGGAGGTGTATTAATTAACAGATTTTTCCACAAACAGCAGTCCGAGTTCCTGAGCCACATCATCTCTCTTACACTCTTGTCCAACTTCCAATTACTAGCAGAATAATTGCAATTTGTACTTAGATGCTCTACAACTTCACCAGGTGGGCAAGACATAACGTGTGCTGTGGCTAGCCCAGGCTTGCCCTGGCCAGCTGGCTGCTGCTGAGCAAAACACAAATCTTGTAGGTTCCACCTGCCCTTTTCCTCAGCAAAGCACTAATTTGGGTCTCTTCACTCTGTTCCACCTCTATTTTTCATTTAGTTCTTTTATTACTTCTGAGACCTCTACCAGCATTTCAAATATGTTTGAAAAGTGGATAAGAGATTCAGAAATTGTGCAGTCTCACATACCACATGGTTTTACACATCTCATTCCTTGTGAGACTGGATTAGAAGTATTGTCTTGCCACCATGGACAGTCCATTAGAACCTAGCAGAATAGAACACTATTAAATGTCTGGGGCTTAGCTGGAGATGGATTTCAGTGGCCGTACAATTGAAAATTCTACTTTGAAAGTAAACCTGCTTGGCTGTCGGTGCCAAGTAAGTTCTGGAGGACTTGATTACAGCTGTAGTATGTGTTTTTGACCTTTTTTTAACAGAAGAAGTGCCAAGTCAAACCTTTGACAACAAAGATTACTTCTGTGGGAAAGAGACGTTTCCTGTCTATGAATCCGTCTTCACGGAGGAAGGAGAAACCATCAGAAAAATTGCAGCAGAGATTGAAAAGCCACCTCAGATAGAAATACATGTGTGGACAATTAGGAAAGGTGAGTTGAGCAAGTCCCTTCTTTAAACAGTGTATCATCTTCCATTACACTCCCAGGACAATTTACAAATCCAAGCACCCAGAGATTGCTGTTTAGGATACTGCTATTACAGCCACTTCCAACATACCCAAAATGGCTGTACAAAACCCATTAATAACACACAAAGCTCCAGTTCTGCAGACTTCATTGTGAGCAAAAGCACAATGACAAACAGGTTGCCAGTGCTACCCTGTGTAATTTACTGCAGAGAAAATGGGTAGTAAGGTTTGAACCAAGTGCCTGGAGTTTCTTACTGAGGAAGGACCGAAACACTTTCCATTGAAATCAGTCTGTCCTATCTGCCTTAGTGATGCTGCTGCCCTGATGGTCCAGAATATGGGCAAAAAGTGTGTTAAGGAGGGAAACAATATCTTTTAGCAGACTGAGTGGTAAAATTAGGAAAACACAGAAATGCATTCACAAGCCCAAGCACTTCTGCAAATCCTGAACTTGGAGTATAATAAAAATAATCTCCAGCCCCCTAAAAGTCCCATCTAGTTAATCTACTTCAAGTAAAAAAAGCATGTGATCCTCATCAGAAACCCTCACACAGTGCAGCCCTTTACAGGGAAATGATACCTCTCTAGAAGTCTCTTTAAAGCCCAAAGCCAAGCCCAGAGTGTGAGCAGAAGAGCAGTCACAGAGGATCAGACAGTTAATAACTACCGTGTGTGTTCAGGAAGCCGCAGAGCCTTGTGATGATTTGACAGGGATGTTGCTGCTAGCTCATGACAGGCAAAATGGTATCTGGCTGTAAAATGATACTGGTTTGCTCCAAGACACTGGGATTTTGGCTTCTGTTGTAACCTTTGATGTATTCATACTAAGGAAGGGTTCAGCTGTGTTGGAAAAGAATTGGCTAATTCTCACACCCCTCACAAACTCTCTGCAATTGTAAATCCACAGGATTTACAGAGGAGTAGCAAAAAAACAGGAGGGTGGCAAAGAGCATAAAAAAGACTAGGCTGAAAATCCACATTATCAGTAAGGCTTATTTCATAAGGGGACGCAACATGGCAGTAATGCTACATAAAGGCAGGACAGCAACCCAGGCTGAGAACAGGCACATTCCCAGTAACATCCACTTCGCATTTCTTTGCTCAAGGGATTCTGCGTCACTTCTATGTTGAAAAAATGTCCAAGAGAGAATTTGAGGAACTTCCTTACTTCAAGCAGATAACAAGGACAACTCTTAGTAAGTAAAATTTTGACCTCTTCGGGTGTCTATTCTCCAAGTAATCTAGCCTTTAAAAACACTTTGACTCAACACAGTCAAACAGATGTCCTCATTTTTCCTCCAGTACACAGCTCCAATATTTTATGAGTTTAGATTTAAATAATCAAAATATAGCAATTTGAAATATAGATACATACAACAGTAGTTCATGTCCTGTATTTTGATAAAATACAAGATAGGCTGTTTTCTGTCCACACTGCCTTAAGCCTGAAATACGACCGATGTCAGTTAGCACAGCAGCACAATTTGGATTTATTTAAGTAACATGTCAAGTTACCCCCATTTTGAGAAAGTCATTTACAAGGGAAGAAATTCAGAGGTGATTAAAGGAGTTCTCCAACATAAATATATGTTATATGTGAAAGAAGCCTTTCCTATGTTCTTAACAAGATCTTCATTATTAAAACCTATCTTTTAAAAGAAGATGTAATTTTTCTCTCCCTCTTAATTCTATTACTTTTTTGTATTTCGCCCACCTTAGGATACGTTACTCAATTTGAGAGCTGAATGAAGGTATCAGCATTTTCAGTTCCTAGTTCTTTTGCATTATAAATTGCCATTTTTTCTGATGTCTCTAATTAGGCAAGGAAGTATTTTTCCCAGGAATAATATATCATTGATTATACAGGCTTAGTGAGAAGCAGACACTTTTTCATATAACACATTTTTTTTTTGCTATTGGCCTTCCATAAGCTTGTCATTGTTACCTGTACTATTCTACTTATGCCACTACTTAGAATAATAATCCACTACTTAGTGGGCATTTCTACTAACATTATCAAAAATTTATAGAAATATTATTATCCAGCAGGCACAGTTTGTATTGTGCACAGATAGGCAGAGTTCACAGTGCATGAAACACTTAAGATTTGTTGCTTCCCAACTTTTAAATTTTCACATCACTGTCAGAAAACAGTGTCCAACGTCATAAATGGTTGAATAAAGAGGGTCAACTTACAGGACTACTGATTAAAGAAAAGAATAATATTCTGGTCTTTGTTTATTATTTTTAATGAAGTTATTTTGCATGGAATTTGTTATGTGATTTTAAGATACTTTGAATATTTTCCATGGGAGGACTGGACATACTGTCTTTGACTGTGGTGAATCAGCTGGTCTGGAGAGTGCTTGTAAATGTCTTCGAAGTTCCCTGTGCCCTTTTCTAAGTCAGTATCTGTCTCCTTTGTATTTCTGTTTTCAGGCCAGTGGAAAATATTTAGCGAGGGAGAAGCTCAGATCAGCCAAATGTGTGAAAGCAGAGTGTGCAGGACTGAGCTCGAGGATTTGGTAAAGGTTTTGTACCTTGAAAAGTCTGAAAAGGGTCACTGTTAAGGGAGACAGCACTGGAGGGAGAAACACAAGAAAACTTGTGAAAACTTGGATCTGCAGCTGGACTGCAGGCTTATTTTGCTTAAGTCAACAGTTGCCCTAAAAACCAAAACTATAATGCAGTAATTATTCACATCATGCACAGCATATTTGCTGCTTTATGTGTAGTGGTCTGTGTCAACCATTCAAATATCTCCTCCAAAAGACTACGAGGCTCTGTATTGCTGGAGGGGGAAGGAGAAAGAGAGACTGTACTTTCCCAGAATTGCATTTCTTCACAAGTTAAAAAGAGAAAACGGAACAATTTTTTAAAATTATTATTATTATTATTTGGCAAGTTATCCAAACTAATGAAAAGAAGGGCACCTAATAAATGTGGAGGAGCTATAGAGAGCATTATTACCTGTGCTGAATTGATACCATTTCTGGTGTTGAAATGACTCATGGATTTTTTCAGTAGTGGAGGAAAAATACAAGCGATACAATACTTGTGTTGGAGACATAAAAAACAGATTTAAACTAACAAACTCCTAAAGCAGCCTTCCTTTGGGGTGATGTCTTGTAGTTGAGCAAACTGAGTCCATAAACTGAACAGCAGGTGTTAGTGGCAATCATGATATTTTTGTAGCAATTTGAGCAAATGTTCACTTTTAAGTGGTTTTCACTGTTTCCTCCACCCACTTCTCTAAAAAATGTGAAGTGTTAGCTCCCTATCACAGCTCTAATAACATCATTCTTCTGGGCCCTGTTAACACATGGACTTGGCTGACAAACTGCCTTCTAAAGTGATGTGCCAGAAGGTGGTGAAGTACTTGCAGTACTTTCAAAACACCTAGAGGGTTAAACCTCCTGATTAATAACTCCATAAAAGTTGCAACAGTGCTTAATTTATTTGTTCTGATTTGTACAAACCTAATCTGGGTTTTTCTGAGGGTGATCTCTCAGTTCTCAACGCTTCAAGGACAGCTCTCTTCCATGACAAACACCAAACAGCCACAGCAGGCCTTTAGAACACAGCAGCTCTGTGAAAGCTGTTATCTTTGTGCAAAACAAATCTGAGAGATTCTGTTAAATTTAGTACAGCGTGCATACAGCGTGTTTAAGAAAGGTGGCTCTCATCTGCAGAAAAAGTGTAAGTTAAAAGGTGTTTTCTGTGAGGAGTCACCAGAATATGCACTGCCTCATGGCTGTGATGCTGGATTAAATCCCAGGGAGCAAGAGACTCTGCCTGCCGTTGCTCTCAGAGCTGAATGCCAAAAGCCTGCTCCGGGCAGAGCTTCGCTGGCCTGAGGGGTCCCTTGTCTCAGCAGACACCCCGGCAGGCTCTGAGAGCAGGTGAGGAGAACAGACATGAAGGTGAAGGAAAGGCCGAAGGGAATGAGGAGAATACATGAAGGGTGATCTCGGGTCCCTAGCAATCTTGCCTGTATGTAACCACCCCAATGTCCCTAGGCCTGCACAGAGAGCAGAGGGTATTTAGGAATACTTCCCTCTTTACCAAGCGCTCAACACAGTCCACTTGTATAATAGGAAAACACACTGAAAACGGAGCTCTTCCAGCAACCATATGGATTTGCAAAAACAAAATACTCTCCCTTGGTGTCAGTAAGAGCCATGGAGGCCTCTTCCCAAGCCTCTGTGGGCCCCTCCATGGCTGCAGGGGAGTCTCAGCTGGGGCCTAGAGAGCCTCCTCCCTGCCCCTGCCCGGCCCTCGCTGTCGGGGCTGTTTGTCCCTCGCCCCTCGCTGCCTGGCAGCGTTTGGCCCTTTCCTAAACACGCTCTCCTGAGCGCCGCCAGCCTGGCTGAGGGGCAAAGCTTTGCCCTGAGGGGAACCGGCTGGAACCGGCTGGAACTGGCCGTGTCTGGCGCGGGGCAGCCCCTCAGCAATAGTGCCAATGGACGCGACAGCGCACGGGCTTAACCAGCACCTGGCCCTTCCAAGTCCTGTGCCTCTGTGAGCGGAGTGAACTATCCCACCGGCGGACTGTAGGCTCCACAAATCCTGCCCTGGTGCTTGAACAGGGTGCAGTGTGCCCTAACTGAGGTCCTGAGGCCTCGCTGCACCAGAGGTTACTGCAGTGTAACTGCAGAAGCAGCAGTTTGGCATCAGCAACCGATCTACTGGGTTGATAGGTACTGTAGGACTGCAAGATTTTACTATAAATCTCCTGATAAGTCACAAATGAACCTTACCGTTTCTTTGGTGAAGACATTGTAAGGAAGAGGTTCTGAGGAACTGTAGCAATCTGGTGGGAAGACCACCAGTTGATTTCTCACCTCGTGGGCATCGTCTGTTTGTAGCAGTAGCTGGTGGAAAAAGTCTAAGTGGAAGGTGTACAGTGTTTGTAATTTGTTGTTTTGTTGGTTTTTTTTTAAGAAGAAGGCAACCTGCTTTTCATATTTGTGACAGGACAGGTGAAATCCAGATGTGTATTTATTTTATAATAAACAGTTTTTAAGAAGAGCAAAAAAAAAAAACCCATAAGCATCTTTTAGTAAAATGCAGTGTTGCATTTTTCCAGTTTCTGGTCACTTAAGGCAACAAAATACACAGTGTCTTGTTTTTCATTCTCCTCATGGGATGTATGTCTGTTACGGTACTTATTTATGTACTTGTTGTATCACTTTGACCTGGTTTGATAAATTAATAAACTCTAAGGTTGATAATAAACCGAGGTGGTTTGTGTGAAGATGCTTGGTTTCAGCTCCTGGTTTGCAGTCCTGCTGCTGCCAGCTCAGGGGAAGCCTGAACCCACACCCGGCTGCCTGCTGTGGAATCGGGCACTGAGCTATGGAAGAGTCAGGGCTGAGACTTGGACTGCTGCACGGGGGCAAAGTAAGGCCTCAGCCCTCACCACATCCTTAACACTTCAGGTGTGAGTTTGAACCAAATGGACTTCAGCAGTGCCCAAAGACACCAGTTTATCAAAAACCTGAGAGCAACTCAGAGGTTATGATCAGTCCTGACTTAACATCACTTACAGCTGGGCCTGAGAAGATCTGTGGAGTGTACTCATGGGAGTCAAGCCATGACTTAGTGACCTGCTCTAGCTGGAGATGTCCCTGCTTACTGCAGGGGCGTTGGACTAGGTGACCTTTTGAGGTGCCTTCCAACTGGAACCATTCTATGGTTCTGTGAGTCCCAGTGATCTCACCAGAATTGTGTGGCCCTCCACAGTCAAGTTAGCTTCAATTAATTAACTGCTGCAACATGCTGCAGTGTTTAATCTCTTGGCGGGAGGGGGGTAACGTTGCTCCCATTTGAGTCCGTTTCAGACCAAGGCAGTGACTGTGTGCTGTACCTCGGCAGCCACGGGGTCAGTGCTGAGCCCTGGCTGCTCGCTACATCTGGAAATAGACACGTGAAGCTTGCAGTGGGACAGCAGTGTCCCCAGAGCTGCAGCAGTTCATTATTTCAGGCCTTGTCTCAGGAATGTCTTCTGCAGAATTCTGCAAACCAACTGACACTAGCAGTCATCTGAGCTAGACTGAAAAGCTACAGAAATTATCACAACCTAGGCATCGCAGGGAAACTAATTAGAAGGAGCAGCAGGATGCTCAAACTATCACCTTATTTAAATTGTTTAGTCACAAGAGCCACAACTGTTTGCTTTCAGGACTTGTTAGAATGGCAATAACAGTATGCCAGGGAGACAGCATAGGAAATATATAGATTTATTGCTCAGAGAGGTCTGTTTGACCTTGGGAAATACCCAATTCAGCTTTCACCTACCTAGGATGATTAATTTTGAAAATCAAAGCATTGGCATCCATATATGGAATCTAATTGAAGAAGAAATCAAGCATTGACAGCCAAGAGGACAGTACAGGATGTATTGCTTTCTGGACAATACATATTCTGAAGCTCAAAATAAGTGGGGAAATGTTGATGGAATCAATCTGTACTAATGACCAAAAAGAGACAGCCTTAAGAAATGTAAAAAAAAAAGTGTAAAGCATGAACCCACGCATAGCTAGAAGTGTAACTAAAATGGAAAGTATCAGCCTTGGGAAAGACAACTATTCAAAGGAAATCACTTTGAATCAATAAACCACAGTAAATCACTTTGAATTGATAAATACATCAAATATGAAATTCAAGATGTCTCTGGAAATTCTTAAAGTCATTTCTGTTATTTGATCACAACCTGCATGTTTATCTTAGCCACCTCTTTATTTTAGCAAGGCAGCTGTTAAAAGAATCCTTTCCATGAGGACACCCCCTCAGCATCCACACCTGCTTTGTCCTGCTCTCCTCCTGCTCCAGCCAGCCCCCTTCTCCAAGCCTGACCATCTGAGTACCATCAGCCTTCCTCAGAGCTGCAGACTGCAAGTCACGAACAGTCAGGGTTGCAGAGCTGCATCCCCACTGAATGCATTCTCTCGATTTCATAACATCCAAACACTTTTTAGCAGCACACTAAACCTTATTTCTCACTTCACTTCTACTCCCCTCTCCTATAACACAGATCATCTCAGACTCCACAGCACTCTGGAGGCCAGGAGGGGCTGGATACCAAAAAGAGAGCCTTATTCACTACTATATTATTCTGAAATTACTTTTAAATATACCTACACAAGCCCAAGAGAAAGGATGTGTCAGCCTAACACTCTCATCTTCATTCACTCTCCATTAAAAAAAAAAAAAAAGGTCAAACCACATTTCACAATTCAGATGATGAATACTTCCAAAATAATTGATAGCACATGAAGTATTTGCGTAATATTGGTGTGCTCGGGTGCCTATTGTGTGATCCATCTAAGATAAAAGCCAAGATTTTCGAGATTTATTGTGGGAGGGGTGAAAATTAACAAAGTTAATCCTTATTTCCATTTATTGCTTTTGTTTGGGGTTTGAAAAATGTCTTCATCTTCTGATCTGAGGTTTTGGACTGTTTTACTTCTTGGGTAAAGTATGTCTGCAACTACATGAGTGTATGAGTATGAACCCACAACCTTGCCCTTCTCACATAACAGCAACCCAACTGTGAGCAAGAATGAAAAGCATCCAAAGCAAAAACAAATAATTGATTTTAACCCAGCAAAACAGTTTTTAAAGTGGACACACCGGCTGACAGTTCAGCGTGTTCAGAAAAGGCAGTGAGCTGGATTCCACCACCACTCAAAGTAAAAACTCCCAGTCTGTCCTCAGATGACCTCCACTTGAGAGACAGAGATCGTACATCACACTAAGCTTTAAGTGTGGTCAAGTGCCTCTCAAACAGCACCCATGGTTAACTATCTCTCCATCAAGATCAATACCATCCCCTATGGATTTAATTCTGTTTTTCTCTCCTTGATTTGTTTGTTTCAGGATCACACCACCACAAAATCAGGTGTGTTAAGTCCACAATAAATTAAACCAGCATTCTATTCTCACAGAATTAAACAGCAAATCCCCCAATCCCTTTATGAAGGGGTCCCTGAAGAACTCATACTGATCCACACTGTACTGGCATTAAACACATTTCAGTGTGCTCTAGTAGTCAGTGTGCACCAAAGGTACATCTTACCCTTCTCACAGACAGATTCCCAGCCACTTGATGTTCCTCAGCCAGCACTGTTCCTCCAGCCTGTTCTTCCCCAGCTCAGTTCTCCCCTCTGCCAACAGCTAGGATGGGACAAGGAATTTCAGTCCTAGTTGTAGAGGCGTTAAGTAGGAGTCAAGTTATGCCTAAGGTTTATGTACTGGAGGATTTAAAGGAAGATTTGATTGTAAATACAGTTTAGTTAACCA